AAGGCAGCTTCATAGTTGAAATACACCCCATATGGCCTCCCAAATGTACAGAAACTAAAAAAGATAACTCAGAAATGCGTATCCAGCAAACAAATGTTCAAGGATAATTTGTTCTATCAATGAATACCCTCAAAGTTTGATTATCATCAATCCACCTCAAAGAAATAAGGAGGAGAGAGAGAGAGAGAGAGAGAGAGAATATTTAGCAAATAAGGAACTGGATATAAAATACATTACCCATTTGTCAACCAAATCCTTCGCAAGTTTTCTGTTTGAAGTTGTTTCCTCATCAGATTTTGATAAAAACATTATAACCTGCTCAATATAAAAGGAGAGTTAACACTGCTCCATAATCCTTCTAAACAAGGTTGAGCAGGATTTCTGCCACAAAATGATTCTAACCTTCCCAAGACCACTCCTTTTCAATTGTTCTCTCCTATCATGCTGCTCTAGATCGATGGGAAACTGGATAACGGAAGCACCATTTTAGGTTCTAAATAAAGTATGGCAATCATAATTCTCAAGTACTTCACATATTAAAATAGGATGAAGAAAGTTAATACATCAGTCAAGATCCTCAAAATGGCAGCTCGGATATTGATGTTCGGTAAGCTTCCATCAGGAAGGGGCTCAAGCCAGTTCTTCAACAAGGTTAGAACACCATGGTCTAGGAATTCTGATTGAAGCTGCTTCCTGCATCCAATTACAATAAGAAAAATGATAATTACCATGGAAAGACAAGTGTACGTTTATAACACATGGGTAGCAAAGCTGCTCACTTTGAGAGAACCTCTGTCAGGAGAGGCAACTTCTTGAGTTTATTAATTGCAGGTTTCCCCTGTCTATTAAGTTCTGCATCTTCTTCAGCAGTGACCTCAAGCTCAGCCATGACATTCTCAACAAGCAATGCAATTTCTGCAGGACTTTTCTCATTCTTCTTCCTTTTTTTACCCATCTTGAACAGCTCTTTAATTTCTGGATCCTCATCATCCTCTTCTGCCTAAAGATGATGATTTTTAGAAATGAAGTGAATAAAAAGGTATCCAAAGAAACTCTTATCAATCACTAAAAATAAACTATTTTGTATTTTCTAGCTAGATTTTGAAATAACTTTATTTATAAAAGAATGGAACATAAAATGCCAACCTGAGGAGCAGCACCAGGAGAGCGTGGCTCATTGTCACTGCCGTACCTGTCAGCAGGATCCACACCACTATCATCAATGAAGTCATCATCATCCACAGTTCTAACACCTTCCTGATCATTCTATTCAAATTAAGTATGATGTTAGCTTGATTCAAGTAAAAAATTTAATCTGAATAGCAATAGAATTTTGTCAATTAAGTCAAGCAACTCTTTATCTTCACAAACAAACATACTAAAACCATGAAAACAATAGCAAACAACCAGGTTTAGGTAATAAACACACAAAGAGAAGCACCACAACATCAGTAAAATACCTCAGGATTGACCCACTGCCACATCTCATTCATCTCCTCCGATTTACCCGATTTTGAAACCCTCGCCTTCTCACCACCGTGCGTATACTTCTTCTCCCCCTTATGCCCCTTCTCTTTCTTCCCTTCCTTCAACTTCTTTCTCTTCTTCCCATCCGATTCTGATCCCTCCCTCACAAAATCCCCAACAAAATTGTCCTCATCCTCATCTACCAGTTCATCAAGCCCCGCACTCTCTTGTCCCATGGAACCTTTCTTGACCAGCCTTTTTCTAGGTTTTCCAACTTTATCCGTGTCATAAACCGGCGTCTGTGACCGCTGCCGCTGACCCCAGTTCTCAACGTCGCCTTCCACATCATCAAAAAGGTCTTGCTGCGGCTCCGGTGAACCAGGATCGGACCGAATGTCATCGTAGTCCATCAACGGCTCTCCATCCTCATCGCGATACCTGTCATAACAACAATATCACCATACTTACCAATTCAAGCGCCCAAAATACAAAAAACTCTAATTTTCTGAAGATGACACAGAAACTTCTAGATAAAATCCACAAAAAAAAAAAAAAAATTCCCACGATGCAAAATAAGGATAGGAATATAAAGATAGCGAAAACCCTAATTTCGTCAGAGACAGAATCTTACGGATCGTCTTCGTAACCCATTGACGATGACGCCAAAGT